AAATTCACCTACGCGGCTCCTTACTGCACCTTCGACCGCGCGTCAGGCGTTTGGGTGGAAATCCGCGTTGTTATTGCGGTGATAGTCTCAGATATTGTGCCGGTCCAATGGCCGGTTTTATTGTCTGTTGGGTGCCGCCACTGGAGTTGAATGTCAAGACCTGCTTGTGAAATGTCTCGCATCGTTCCTCGTTTTCGGCTTTCGAACCTCCTTACCTGTTAACACATTGGGTCGACAAAAATCGTCATCGAGTTAAATGCGTGGAACGTCCCGGCGTTCTCTCTATTAATGTGATAGTTTTTGTTGCCAGAAGTGTTGGTTTTTGCTCTAACAGTTTTGCGCCGTTTCTGTCTCAGCGTGGGTCCTGCGGGCGTCTAGTCCGCGGTAGTATTTTTCTTCACTGTGGCAGCGCTTTTTCCCACGTGGCAGCGCAGTCGCAAAAGGAGCATTCTTGCAATTGCTGACGAGTTCTTTGCTAACATGTCTGTTTTGAAACGAAAAAAATGTTCTACTTGTTTGAAAAGTGTCATTACAGCACTTGTTAATAGCCCTGCCTGCCTAACGGCAAGCTGGGCGCCTTTCGCAATGTAAATCTTCATTACGACATTACCACTTGGCAGCTAGCCGATAAACCGTTCGCCCACGTCTTGCGTAACTATGTGCTCGACGTTCCAGCGGATGTTCGAAGTTCCGCCGTCGTCCGGACAGCAGATACCGTACAGCCGAGTCAACCACAACAAGTACATGGTCACAGACCAGGTGGCCTACATAGGTGGGTGGGCATGACCTGCGCGCACAGGCGAGGCTGCGGTGGAACTGGGTGCGTGGGAACCACGCGGCAGTTTGCGGCCTGAGTGGCCCTGCCGGTCCGGCAGTCCCCTTTCTAGAAATTAATATCTGCAGACACCGATTGCGGCGTGGTGAAGCTTCCGAGAAAAAGAAGGGCGGAGTTCCGAGAGTTGCGCTGTGTAAATTGTCAGACATTTCCGTACGAGCTGTTCCATAAGGCTTGCTACATCTGTAACGCTGTAATCCGAACGAGATATGGACTTTTCGTCCGCGCAACACTGGCAGCTGGCTCAACAATTCGCCAGTTGCAGAAAAGCCGCATGACAGGTCGAAACCGGGCTGGATTTGACGAGCTGACGTGCCATGGGGACGAGGCCACCACCGTCTGGCAGAGGGGAGGGGAGGGCGGGCAGTGTTACTGGCGAAAGCCGGAGTCGATGTGTGTCACTCACAGATTGGCCCGTTTTGGGGTGTTTTGAAAAATCTGTGTCGGACATTACAACCGGAAAGATAAGGACTCGAAACGAACTGATCAGTGTAGACGAGTGAACGGTCCACAAACCATAGAGGTGTTCCGGTATTGTCGGACCTATATGCGCGCCAGTTGTCGACAGAAGACAGTCGACGACAAAATCGTTTTCTGAAACCAGTCTCGGATATTTCGTGCTCTGATGTAACCCGACAGATTTGGTCCAGAGCATCTATACAGGCGTGGAGTTCGTTACGCTGTGACACATCCATGGAAAATATTTGTTTTCGTGGTGCTAATTCTGTTGCAGTCTCCAAAACCGCAAATCAGTAGAATTAAGCTCGCCAGGGCTGACAGGAATGGCCGAGGCCAGGTCATCAGCCAACCACTTCCAAGCGACTTGAGTGTGAAATAATCGTGTGAAATCTGCGAGAGACCCCCGCCCTCCGGCTACGTGCTCGTGCCTGACACCGGTACCGCCCCGCAGGCACGTCCAACTGGTCGGGCGACTACTTCGTCAACACGGGCGGCATCGGACTGGTGGTGAACTCGTCCAGTCCGGCGTCGGCCGGCGCGCTGCGCTCGCAGCTGGAGGCCGTGTTTCAGCGCGACTGGCAGTCGGACCACTCGCGCCCGCTGGCCGACTTCGACTGAGACGCGGCGCGGGTCGCCAGGTCGCCGCGCCCGAGCCGCGAGCGACCTGGTGACCCGGCGTCCGAGCGTGGCTGGCCCGTCGGAGTGCCGGCCGGCTGCGACGCGCCGTTCTCTCGGCAAGGCGGAGCGGACGTGGCCGGCCGGCTTCCGGCGAGTGTGCGGAGCGCTGACCCGACCTAAGGGATCTCAAGAGATTGGAGGCGGCCGGCTGCTGCGAGGTCCTGCAAAATCCTACAGAATCGGCGGCTGTCGATGGGGCTGTGTCGTGTCTCTGTTCCGGGGCCGCGGAACAGAATGCTGCTTGCTGGTGTGTGTGGCGGAGTGTCGTTGTCTTGATTGTTCAGGACGATGATTGTGAGGCCAAAGTTCGTATTTTACCTTCTGCACCTGTATGCTTCGTGGCTGGTCTATATAGCGTTTTGATTTGATCGTCCCGACTCTCGGAACGGCGGCGGACATCGAATCGTGATTAACATCCGTGTGCATGTATCCATCTCTAGGATTCCATTTGTGATGTCGTGCCTGCGGGCTATGGGCGTCTCCGGTATGCAACCTGGACCCAATAAAACCGACGCGCTGGTGCTCTGACCACTCTGCGATTGGACGGCACCTGGTATGTCGCAGGGAGCCGACGGCAAGTTGGAAACTGAATGCCGAGCAAACGCGGCGCCGACGTCCCGCGGCAGCGGACAGTCGGCTGGGGGGAGTGGGGAGGGCGGGTAGGAGGAGCCCGAGACGCCACAGCCGTGTCCAGGTCAGGGTGGGCGGCTGGGCGGGTCGTCTGCCCGGCCTGGACCGCTATTCGTTCTCAGATTGGTGAGCCTGTGGCGTCCCATCGTCAGACGACGCGTGTCGTCACCGGGCAGGGTCATCAGTTGCTGTTTTGGCGTGGACGCGGCCATTTCATGAGGCTGGCGTACATCGTGATAGTTGATATCTTCCGAATAAGGTTAGGATGCATTTGAAACTGACGCGCTACAACAGACTGTCACTAAATCAGCATCGAACTCAGAAAAACACGACTGCTCCCAAACAGTAAATGATTCGTCTGCCAGTTTACGTCATAATGGAACACAGCACAAATTTCAGAAGAAAAAAATGACTTTAAACGGGCCTTTCAGAAAAAGCTGACAGTTCCATAGTGCCCGTCTCGCCAGCGCTGACGAATATAAGCCCCCGCCTCCTCCCGCTCATCCCGCCGTGACGCAGATGACCTGTCGGGGATTCGGGCAGGTTGTCGTCGGGCGATGGGCTCGAATAGCGTGCTCGATCCACTACGAGGCTCCCTGGGGGCTGAGTAACTAATCTAGCGAGGGGAGACGCGGAACGGCTTCACTCGACAGCTGGTTCATCAGTGGATTCTCTGCCCGAGCGGCGACCTGTAAACAAGTCACGGAAAAGTTGAAACGGGAAGGTTGTGTGATTCGTGTGTGCGTTTCGTTTTACGTCTCATACGAACCGCACAGGCCCGTTAAGCCCATGGGCTGAACGGTGTGCTGAACATAGCTGTCGACCAAGCGTGTTCCTTTGCGGCCACCGTTGCGTTTGCTACGATGGTTGCTTTTCATTACGGTTGGGATCTGTCGTGTTGCATTTCTGGGAGGTGATGTATAATGAGTGGCAGTCGGCCGCATCGAAATCGAAGGCGCCCAATGTGACGATCCCACCCACGTCCTGTCAGCCACCCGACAGCCCTATGTTCTGCCCCGAAGCGTTTCACCACTCAACTCAGTGAGTGGATGAG